TAGACTTGTGTATGTCTGTGTGATGCAGTAGGTCACTGACTGTCTCCTCCTGGATTGCGGAGGTGTTTTTCTCCCAGTCTCTGTCTTCTGGCTGAGGAGGCTGGATTCCCTCAGTACAACTGGTCTTGCTATTAAAGACTGAGGCAAAGAAGGCATTAAGCACCTCAGCCTTCTCCTCATCATTTGTTGACATGTTTCCTCCTGTGTCTAGCAGGGGATGGAGGCTCTCCCAGGTCTTTCTTTTGCTGTTGACATACTTACAGAAACATTTCTTGTTATCTTTGACTGGTGAAGCCAGATTAATTTCCAGCTGGACTTTAGACCTCCTGATTTCCACCCTGCATAGCCTCACAGAACCTTTGTAGTCATTGTGATTGGCTAGCCTCTTCTCAAAAAGGCCACAGACTCTCCTTTTCTCCCTGAGTTGCCAACAAAGCTCCCTGTTTAGCCAGAGTGGCCTTCTCTGCCACCAGCTTCTCTTACAGTACATGGGGACAGCCTTCTCCCGTGCCATTAAGACTTCCTTCTTAAAGAGTGCCCAGCCTTCCTGGACCCCTATATCCTTCAGGGCTCTCTCCCAAGGGATTCTGTCAAGCAAGTACCTAAACAAGACAAAGTCAGCCCTTTGGAAGTCCAGGATGTCAGTTCTGCTTAGCCCTCTCCTAGCCTCTCTAAGAATAGAGAACTCTATTATTTCATGATAGCTGTGCCCAAGTCAGCCTCCAACTGCCACATGGTCCACCAGCCCTTCTCTGTTCACAAAGAGAAGATCCAGCAGGGCACCTTCTCTGGTTGCTTCTCTCACCAGCTGTGTCAGGAAGTTGTCTCCCACACATTCCAGGAATCTCCAGGACTGATCCCCCTCTGCTGCACTGTATTTCCAGCAGATGTCTGGGAAGTTAAAGTCTCCCACAAGAACAAGGGCAAGCAATCATGAGATTTCTCCTAAATGCCTATAGAATATTTCATCCACCTCTCTGTCTTGCTTGGTTGGCCTATAGTAGACTCCTACTACAACATCTGCCCTGTTCACCTTCCCCCTAATTCTGACACAAAGACAGTCTACCCTGTCTTCACTACACTTGTACTCAAAGCAGTCATAACAGTCCCTAACATACATTGCCACTCCACCACCTCTCCTTCCCTGTCTGTCCCTCCTAAAGAACTTGTAGCCATCAGTTGGCACCCTCAAGTTATGGGAGACATCCCACCATGTTTCTGTGATATATTAAAACTGGTCCTTAAAATAATGACAAAGTACATTAAAAAAAGGAATTGAATGAACCTGCAAAGCTCTGTATGAAAAGACATCTTCTCAGTGAGAATCTATCTTGACTTTGCTTACAGTATACAGTTCAGACAGGGGAAACACCAGAGAGGTCTAATATATTCAATTCCTTTCTGGTTCATCAGATCTAATTCTGCTGAGAACACCAAAGTAGTGGTTAGATACATCGGCTTTTCCTGCATTCCATCTCCTCCTGTGGACAAATGAGCTATATATGCTTGCCAAGTTTAATGCTTTCTGAAAAACTGTCCCCTCTTCAGTAAGAGAGGAGGGATGCAAAGTGAGAGCAAAACAGAGCAAACAATCATCTTTCAAAGAGGAAGTGAGTAACCAGACTAGTTTCCTAATTTGCATATGGAAATGAGCTAGACATTGCCTGTGCTTGTGCCTAATCTAAATTTCAGAAGTGTTTTTTATTAAAAATAATTCAGAACGTATTCTGTTCTTCTATTCTACAACTACTTTTGGTGTCAGTGGGGCCCACATGTACATGGTAGAGCAGAATAGAGGTGACTGACATGCTTAGTAGTTGCATTATCATCTGCAAAGAAGGCGTTCTAAAAAGCAAAAGCAAGAAGGCATTCTAAAAAGGAAAAGTAAGAAAGGTGACAAATCTTTAGATAAATCCAGTAGATAAGAAAAACTTCGGGGTGAGCAGAGGGTTGTAGAACTGAAGTACAAATTCAGATGATTAAATGCTGTACAATTTCCATAAAACATGCTTTTATCTACTAAAGGTTTGTGTCAGGATTCCACTCTACTTTTCACTGACATTGCACTTTGCTTTATATTAGTTAAACACCTTAAAGACAAATACCTACTAAAAAACCTTTTTAAAACCAGCTGTTACAAAGAAATAACAACATTAGTTTAAAAAAAAAAAAAAAAAAAAAAAGCTGGAATCCATATTTCACTTTTCTTCTCAATAGTGTCTTATTAATGAACATCCTGCCCTGGAGAGGGCACTCTGTGACCATATTATGTATTCCACTGTCCTCATTAGCCACCTTTTAGTTTTAACCCAGATACACCTGTGATCCTAACAGTTTGCTTAGCCAGTGTACAGTTTATGTCAACCGTAATATATTAAGAAAGGGAACCATAGGGCGCTATGCTCATCAGTTCAGCCCAACAACAGGTATCAAATCCTACATCCTATGTTTTATTATTAATGACAGTACATTATTTGATATTTAAAAAGTCAATATGTAGTAATTCTACAGTATTCTAATAACTGATAAGTTGCAGGTGGAGAAATCTTTCTATTAACAGAATTTCTCCCATTCCTTCCATGGTAACAGCAACCACAACCTAAAAAAGTTCCTCTGGTATACTTCACTGATGTTGAGGGAATTAATACAGATTATACACTCACCTGAACAGTGTAAATTTAATTTCTGGAAATATAAAACCACTTTATTTTCCAGAGATTTCCTCCAAAAGTATATATTAAAAGTAACACTAATCACTCTAAATTCTAGTGTAACAAGATAAAACCATACAATAAAAATACATGGAAGATTCCCTGTGCTAGGAAAACTTTGAAACATACTTCAAAGCATAATTCAATGACTAACTGGCAATTCAGGGTAAAAAACCCCTATCCCTGAAATATGAATATTCCAAATACTCCATAATTATTTAGTTTGCTATGTTCTGCACCTAAGAGGAAAAATATTAAGGATGTGAACCACTGTTCTGAGCTAGTCTAGGAAGTCCTACAGGCAAGTGTTTTCCATAAGCCAAAAAAGAACCCTAATAAAAGAATCACCTTTTTTTTTAAAGCAAAATCTTTTAACAGCATAGTGCCTTGACTTCCTAACTAGGCTGTAAGAAAAATAAGGTAGCTACATTTGTACTTAAACAGACTTAGCTTGCTGAACTTCTAAATTCATAATTTAATGGCTAACTTCACAGTTTAAATAGTGTGTGACTATAGTACGATAAGATTAAATGCATGAGCTTTGTTTTTAACTGTCTGGATATACACTGACACTACTTCAACAGAAGAACAATTCAGTAAAAGTACCTGGATATCAAACACTACATTTTTATGGTAGTTAAAGTATCAGTCAGATAAAACTGTCAGCAAGGACCTAAAGGAAAGTTAAAAAAAAAAAATTATTATCCTTTCACCATAAAGGAAGCCATCTGCATGCCAGTAGTTTCGGCAAGGCAGACTGAAGCCAAATTTGTGCAGGATTTACAGATACTATAGCTGAAAATTAAGATTTTCTGTTTCACACCCAGGCCTGTTTGAACTGTATAGGGTTCAATAACTCCCCATTTTCACAGGTGATAACCAGTTCATCTTCCTATTAATATATTAAGAGGCTCCATTTTTCTTACCCATCCTAACCCTTTTTTCTCATTCACCTCCATTAAAAGTTTCCACTTCCTTAAAACACATGGCACACACTGTCTTCTTGCTCTTAGATGCTTGTCCTCAGCCATTCTTCTAATAAGAGCTTTTGTCACATCCCACTGCAGCTCTTGGCTCAAAGGCAGAAATACACAACTTCTTACTATATCCTTGAAGTAAGGATTTTTTTTTTTTTTCATTTATTTTGAGTTCAGGAAGCTGTAGATTGCCTAACAGGTGCTGAGCTCCTGATCAGTCAGAGGCATTTCATTCATTTACTGTAATAAAGCATCTGTAATAAAAGTTGTACACTACCAGCATTACACCTAATTAATATTTATCCACCACAGGAGGTCCTCATTCTGTTAACAGCATGTTCTCAGAGAGCTATATAGACATTGTACAAGGAAAAATAGCATTTATCAAGTAACCTGAGAAATGTATCTGATGGAATAGTTCCTGGGTACCCATTAAAAGCTTTACAATCAAAACTATTGATCCTTTGAAATCTTTAATTACTCTGAGGGGACTAAAGCTTAATAATGTAAATCTATATGGCTGAGAGGAATTCGTGGCTGCTCATATATAATACCATCAACACTAACTGATAAATTCACCATACTGGCTTTATTAAAAAAATGAGTGGCATCATCACTTTGGAAAATAACAGAGAGCTAGGAAAAGAGAGGTGGAAAGCCACACAGAGTTGGGCTGGTTTGGTGATCAGATACCGGCTTCTCCTCATACTGTATACTGCATGTTTAACTGACTTCAAAACTTAAAATTTAAGACATAACACCAAACTTTGACAAAAATCTTGCACTGCTAGCAAGTGAGATTATTTTTTCCTCAAAACATAGTAAGTCTATTCAATATTTATATTTCTAGAGAAGATGATTCCTTGATCATCACAAAAAATTATTAAGAAAAAGTTGGTTATTGAAACCATAGTATTAATCCACAATATTTGTCATAATTTTCATGAAAGTGTGATAAGATAGTCATTTATTTCTAATATACTTTTGCACAACAATGTGCAAATGCAGAAAATTAACTGCCATTTTTTCTCACAGTATAGTTAATTCAACAATAATAAACAATTATATAGGACATTACGTACAAGTTTCCCGAATAAATCAATTAGGACCACATTTTAGAGAACCTGTTTCTGGTAAAATCTTCCAATGTGATCCAAAACTATATAGATAATTTTCTGCAACATGGCAGTTTTTAACAGCTATGGCATATCTAGTTCCAAAAGTAATGAATGCCTCCTTAGCTACCTTTACAAAGACAACAATTTGAGAACCACTGACTTGTCTCCATTAACTGCTATTTCTATTCTCTTACCTGTTATCAAGGCAGAGTGATAATATCCACAGGATACAGAGGAAACAGGTTTTCCCACATCCACTTCACAAGGTACACTGACATAGGTTTCATCAGCCAAGCCAATCTGACCTTCTGAATTGTCACCCCACACAAAAAGCTGCCCATCCTCTAGAATGAAGACACACATAGTTAACAGATTTAAACCCAAAACTTATAAATAGGTAATTTACCCATTTAAGAGTATTTAATAAACTCTGTGTATGATACTACTAAATGTCATGATCTCAGGGACATAAAATGGTATTTAGCACAATGCAACAAAACAGTCAACAAAACAGAGGGTATCAAGTTTTTGAAAAGTGACACACAACGCTCAGTCATCAACTGATGTTAGACCATAAATAGCAACAGGAAAAGTATTATGTAAAAACATTCCTTCAAAAAGAGGAAGACTGAGTGTGTAAGACAATTCAGTTGCCAGAGGTCAGTATGAAAACATTACGTTGAATTTAAGGCATCTTCTCCTTTCCAGTAGCAAGTCACCACTTTCTCATTCTTCCAAACTTATTCTGTTCTGACTTTGCTACACATCCCATTTATTCTTGCCTTATCTTTCAGTTCTCTTCACAGGTCATTACACTGCCCAGCTTCATTTTTTTTTCCTTAAACTATCACAATAGCTGTTCCAGGTTTATTAAGACCAGACTCTATTGACACAAAGACCAATGGCAGCAGTAAAAAAAAAAAAAACAACAACCCCACAACCATAAAAGGTAGTGAACAATATGAGAAGAGATGAGGTCTTCTCCCTGAATATTTCTTATTGGTGGTAAATAAGTTGTGAACAAAAAAGTACCATCTACAGTGCTACTGAGATGCTTGGGAACTAAAGTAATTAAAAGTTGACTTATAAATCTCAAGAGAATGTTAGTAATTGTCACCAAAAAAAACCCCAAAACAAAACCAAACCAAACGAGCAGGCTAGCATCTCTCTTATGCACTCTTATGCTCTCTGTCACATTCTGAAATGACAGCCTCAATAACTTATCCTAATTGTGTCCAAAAATAGCTGGTTTATAGCAAAACTTGAGAAGTTGACATTACAGTGTAATAAAGGACCCATCTAATGACTGAAAGTATTACAACTGTGTGGATTTCAACATGTCACAACTGTATAATTTTGCTGAGAAATAGGTCATAGGTCAGGCCTCTCTCAGCAATGTCACAGCTGTGTAGCCTATATGAGTAGACCAAAATAGTTACAGTAAGAAGTGGAATTAGAAAAACTTAGTTTTCATAAGATTCCTGTTTTGCAGATGACTTCCCTGGAAATGAACTGATGATTTTTCCCATTTTGAGAGTATTCACACCATCTCTTCTTTTTAAGGATTTCTATTAAACTAGTATAGGTTGAGGTCCCATTGCAGGCCATTGCTCATTGAAAAGGTCTTCGTTCACAAAAATTGTAGGAAGTTAATGAGACTGCCACCTCTTACCAGATTGTGTTGAAACAGGCAATTTGCTATCAGAAAATGACTATGGTTACAAGGAAAAGAAGACAGAAGGCATAGAAACTACACCCACATATGCAGACAGAATGCCGGAATAAATGTTTCCCTGGAACACCAGGCTGGACACTCATAGATTTTATTAGCAGTTGCTCTTACCAGTTACTGCTGCTGAGGTGTATGATCCAGCTGCTAGCTGTTTGATCTTGTGCTGGTTGGTAAAAAACCTAATTAAATGAAATGTGGTCCTTTCCTCTGTGTCACCTAATCCCAACTGACCTTCACTGTTACCTCCAGCAGCATACACATTTCCTTTTTCTGCATACAGAAAAGCACATGTAATACACAGAATGAAGACATTCTCATCAGTGGTAAAAAGTCAGAGAAACTAGCGCAAGTCATTTAATTTTCAATAGAAAGACATTACAGAAAAGCTGGGGTCTACTGCCCTTGAAATATCCTGAAGTTGGCATTTGCAGTTTCTGTTGTAGATAGCAAGGAGCCTTTCCTGCACACATTTGGATCAGAAATTTCTAAAGGCCTTGTATGTACTTAGATTGACTTCATTTCCCACCGTTCTGGTGACTGATCTAAAAAGTAAATATAATTTGAAGTTCTGCAAGAGTTCTGAGAAAATGACTGCTAGTATAGCTCTGGCAGTCAGAAAAGGCTCCTTCCTCAAATAATGTATATTTTAAGATAAAGCAGGAGGAAAATAGTGAATGATGTCACAGGCAACAAAACTGAAGTCATTAGTACATAAATTAAAGAGATGCATAACTTGATAGGTTTGAGTACTGTGAATTCAATATATTTTTACTTAGGTTTTTATTAGAAATATTTTACTAATTTTAATATTTAAATCACTTTCAATTTACTTAGCTAGGTCTTTGTTTTAGAATATTGAGGTTAAAGCTGATGATTGACATCTTCAACTTAAGAGAATTAAGATTAATATTTTTAATTTTAGTATGTTTCACATCTAAAGTGTTCATCTATGATGAAAAAGATAAGGCCCATTAATAAAACAAATCCAGGCAGAAATGTGATAAGCAACTGACATACAATTTATAAATGGTCCTTGCTATATAAATGGCCACAAATTATCTAGCCAGTGTGTACACTAAAAGTGACTAATATTTACCCTGTGCGGTCTTGCATACTCAACTGTTATTAAAATGTTCTGTTTTACTCTAATAGTCTTATTTACAGTGCTCAAGGCCTCCACATATATAAACCTCCTAATAATCAAACAATCCTCTTTATAACATTACTGCAAGCTAAACGATTGCCACCAAAAAGATGACTATTCCATTACATAAATTTTAGAAGCATGACAAGAATTTGCATCAATTCTCTGTATACCGTCTCTCTAAAAATTTATTTTTTAGTTTGAATTTACAATTTATTTATTTATAGCTTAATAAAGCAACTTGTCATTGAAATAGCAACTATCTTGTCTAACCAAAATGTGACAAAATTTGAAGACTTGAAAACATTCAGTTCTACTACATTTACCCAAACATATAACAACACTAATAAAGGTAAATTACTTGTCAAAGGTAAATTTGAGTACAGATGTACAAAAAATATTAATATACCTTTACAGGGCTTAAATGAAATATTGGTAATTGTTAACCACACCTCAAATGCCCACAAGAAATCTTTTCATCTGTCTATTGGTAGCAAACTCCTGCATAACATTATTTTATAAATGCATTGGCTCAGAATAAATCAAGCATTCAAAGAACTGGATATCAAACCCCCAAGTTTTAACAGTCCCATTTTTGTTTATTTTTCCTTCCTCAACACTCCTGGGGTTCCTAATGTAATTTTGTATGAAAGCAAAGGAAGAAATCTATCTTTAATATGTACATAATATAGGTTACATACCTGTGTAAACTAAAGTGTGGTTTCTTCCACAAACAGCAAGCTTTGTTTTTTCTGGTTTTAAAGCTATGAATTAAAGCCAAAGGGAGGGGGGGAAAGTTATAAACAAGCTGATACCTGGTTCAATAACAAAATGTTCTGTGCTCTAAGGGGAGCTCTGATTTTTTTTTTGTATTTTTACCAAAAGAGTGATTACAAGATTCATTGCCCATCTGAAACCAGTATATGACTTACTAAATGAGAACTGCCCCAAGATAAGAAAACAGATATAGACCTTAAAAACTTATAGCTGACACTCAGGTTAACTTGATAATGGCTACTTCATCACAATGCCACATTCCCCAGAATTTGCCATTTATTGGATATGCCTCAAACAATGTATCAAGTTGCAGGACAAAATGCATGCTTAAAGCTATCTTCAGTTTTCATTAACATTATTATTCTTAACCCCCTCTTATGCTTTTCCCACTTAAATTTTTAAAATCAAACCTTTTTTTGTCTTATCATCCCTATCTTTCTTCATTATGCACAGCTACCTTTTTTGCTTGACTTTTGCTCTGCACTGCCCTCTTATTGGTCACTAAACTCAACTGCAAAGGACAGTCCTATGTGGACTAGCGCCTAAAATTTTTGCATATACCATCCTGTCTCAGCTCAATTACCACCCATCCACTGCATGTATTTCTCTGTAGTCTGGTCACTGTGAAAGACTAGAAATGTATCCACAAAGAGTAAAGAGTTATTTTGGTGGGAAAGAGAGAAAATACAGAGGTGCCTTTTCTCCCATGGCAAGTGTACTCCGTTTTAGAAACAGAGGAAAAAAATCTCACTGACTTTTCCATCCTCTCTCCAATAACTGATCATTGCCAACAATTTATCTTCTCTCAGTCATGTCCATGTGCCCTATACAATGCTCTTAAAACAGCATTATTTTTATAGCATATATCTTTAATTGCTTTCCACTGCACTAGTCTATGACAAACCCAACAACCATCATAGCTATCACAAACCTTTTTTCAGTCCTTTCAAATCAACTTGCATCAGCTCCATAACATTCACATTAAAGTCCCTCCTACCAAGTCACCAAATAAATCTATCTACTTAAGCATGAATTGTCTCCGGTCTATCACACTGGCACAAATATAAATCCAGGTTCCTGCCTATCCTACATGACACCTACCACTACTACCAGGCTGGAACCATAACACTTCCAATGTTGGCTTCTTCCTACAATCTTAATTTGCTGCTTTATATCCTAAAACTCTGCCTCCAACTTCAGAGATTACCTTAATCAACTCTTCAGAAGCCTGTGATCTCTAACCTTACTCTCACTTTGGCAGGCTAATCAATTGTATTTGCTAAATCATGCTATATTTACAGTGTTGCTGGCAATTCTTCATAACCAATTTCATTAGTTTCTAGTCAAACCCCAGAAGGTATTTTCTCAGAAAACATGCAGCCACAACCATTTGGCACTAAGCAGAAACTGAAATGTGTCCTTGCAACCCCATTCCCAAAGCCAAGTGATGACTGAAAGCTAGTGAGAAAACCTCCAGGAATTTCTTCTGCTGCCTATTGCCAAGAGAAGAAAGGTACCCTCCTTGTGACTTTTTTCAGTGGATGACAGGTCTGGTTTGAATTGCTGTCTCCTCTTCACCTTTTGTTCTCCATTGCAATTTGACAGTAAAAACAAAACCCAATCCATTTAAGCCAAAGTAAGAATTGATCTCTCACATGGCTGACTGAAGATGTGAATCTGAGAGTAGCTGCATTCTCCCTCTGAAGTGAACAAGACAGAGGAGCAGATAAAGGACAGTAGAATAAACTAAATCAGGAAGAAGAGTGTTTTAATGAGCAGGATAATTTGTTTTTAACAGTAAGCTAAGAGATCAATCTGCTGGCAAAAAGGATAAGGATAAACATTTAATGGTGAAAAGAAATGTGTTAATGGGATAGATCTGACTTGACATAAGTAAGGGGATATGGAAAAAAGTATTCTTAGTTTTGTTTGATAAGACAAAACCAGCTAGGAAAGATCAAGAAGATAACAGTGCAATGAAAACATATTTTACACCACATGAATGAATATGGGCATTTATTTTACTGCTTCATACAAATATATTAACATTCATGCCCCCTTGGGCACTTCTTATACTTGTTAAAAACGTAGCAATACTTGTAGAAAGTTCCTGGTAGATTTTTTCATTTATAGAGGTGCTAGGACAAAAGTGATACAAAGGTTACACAATGCTGTTGGAACTCTGACTTCTAACACATGGACAACACTGTAAAGACCACTTATCTGACTAATGCCTCTGCAGTCACAATGAAGTTGTGGTTTGTCAGAAAAGGCAAATATTACATAAAATGAGAGCCCTCAAAAAAGACAGAATTCTTTGTAATCTTCAGACTGAAAAGGACCCAGAATCTGGAACTGATGGAAAATCAACCAGGGATACTTTTAAGCTACCTTTATAAGCTTGTGCAGTAATACGCTACACATGACGAGTAAAGAAGGCAAATCAGTTATTTTGGAACTGCATCTTATAAAGTACATTTTCACAAGGGTCTCCTTTCAAAAAGACAAAAAAATAAAAATTAAACAAACCTTTTACACATGTTGGTTTGCTGACAGTGTTCTTTGATCCTAGTCCTAACTGGCCCCAGTTGTTACTGCCAAACATGTATAGTTTACCATTCCCTGAAAAAAAATGCACAGTCAGAATCCATAGAAGTGTTTGAATACCTCATTCAAGACAAGATGGTCACTCACACACTACGCTATTTATTACTTCCTTTTTAATGTAAGGTTTAAGATTAGGCAATTCAATACTTAAGTGCAAACAACAATTAATATCCTTGTGATTTTTCAGTACAAAAGGAGAAATCACATTGTTTAAGTAAGAAATCGCCAGCCAGAAGAAGGGACAAAAAGCAGAACAAACATCCTCTCCTTCAATTACAGCACAGATAAAGTGCTCTTCAGAAAATGTAATGTTGTACCCTTGGACAGACCCTGAAGTTCAGAAACCACAGTATCTATAGGCCTATTTATGAAATAACAGCACATTTAACTGAGCACCCACATCTTTTACCCCAAAGACAGAAGTGAAAAATGCAGCTATATAATTAATACAAACACAAATTCATAATATTCAGCTTATTTAACTGTTTACAGGGGGATATTTTGTTTTACTGCTAAATGTCTTCTCTTAAAATGATTTATAAATTTGTACTTGTATCGAATAGTTTCTGATAAATCTTCCAATGTGTTCCCAAACTGTGTTGTTACTCTGCATATAAAGAAGGAATGCATAAAACCACCATGCAGACAGGGAGTTTTGTAATCCTAAATGCAAACATTACTTTAAATATCTTCAACAGAAGCATCACTAGAATCTTCTTTCAGAAATTGGTATGATGTGTCATTGAACTTGCAGGTTTGACCATTACAAACAATGAACTGTTGTAATTCTGAATAACCGGTGTTTTTTTTAAGAGGATGGTATACAAACAGATGAAACTTTCGTCATCAGGCATGCAAATTAGGCAGACAAAACTGACTACTAATACATTAAAATTAATTAATTCAATTTAATTTAATTTTTAAACTATTGCATTTTGTAAAACTGTAAAGTTCACACCCAAAGATAAAATCCTTGTTCCAACAGAAATCTTTGCAAAACAACAGAAACTGATTTGTCAAAAAAACCCCAAAAACCTTTTACAACTTTTAAAGGGAGTTTGTTTACTTTCAATGATGAAGGTCTGCAGAGCTTTGTGAGTTAGGCTCCATCACAAGGCTGTCCCATAAATAAACTCTGTCACCCTAGCCATCAACAGTTATCACATGAGCTCAACTCACAACACCAACTCCATATAATAATGCCAAAATATTATGGCTGTTTGTACTTCAGTAGTGTAGGTTCCCAGTGAAGATTCTGAATGTGATTTACAGAAACTTTGAAATATGATACTGAAATATTTAAAATATAACAAAAATACTTAATCTGTTAACCCCCCCCCCATTTATTTTCTCAAATACAACCATATAGTTTAAAAAAAACCAAATAAACAAAAAAAAAACCTACACCACCCCCCCCCAAAAAAAAAAAAAAAAAAAAAAA